GACCTCAGACTGAGGAAGTCTCTCGGATGAGAGACGAAACGTTTCTACATTTTTTGTTGATTTGCTTTGTTTTGTTTTTTTGAATGTCCAGAGGACCAGATTTAACTTTTTTAGATATTGAAGGATTATTTTGCATTTTCCACTTTTTAATGCTAAACAGTTTCCAGACACATTTAATTTATTTTACTGTGAAATTTGGAGTCTTTCCAGACAACAGAGCATTAATAAATTTATTATTTTTGCAGCACACTGCTGTAGATGTTATCAAATGCAAAATAATTGAGTGTATTTTTTTTCTCTGTCTCCACTAAAAACCGAACTTTGAACATGATTTTAACTCTTCTCATCCCAAAACAAATCTTTTTTAATTTGTTATACATAAGTCAAACACTTGTCTAAAAAGTAAAATAATATATATATATATATATATATATATATATATATATATATATTCTATTTAATGAAATATAATAGTTTATACAGTGTATCTCAGAGCATACAACTCTTAATACCTATTTCAGCTAAAGGACATCCATCAACTACAAGTGAAAATGATTAACGTTAAAATACAAATTCATCAACTCAATGGAGCAACGTTTTTTAGTTTTAGTCCCGTTTTCCAGACAAATACAAAAGGTTTTGTATTTTGATTTTAATTTCTTGCTGGTCGTTCATGATCTGTTGTCAGTTTGATTAAATTTCTCATCTATAGTTTAAAATAAGACACAAATGAAGAACAAAAAAACAGGCAGTAAAAAACGATTGCATACATTTTTTTATTAATAGACATTGTGTAGAAAAAAAAAGAATGAGAAACAGACATTCTCTTTTTCATCAGCCAACTTTTTTTCTCTCCCATTTTTCAGAATATATCCACAAGAAAAGTTCTTACAACATCACGTACAAAAGAAAAAAAATAAAATGAAACCTCAGTCCAATGGATCATTTTAAACAGAAATGCAAGATATAAAAAGAAAAAAAAAAGGTAAATCATGGATTGATATAACGAAAACGGGGTTGGGGAGCGAAATAAAAATGGGTTAGATTTTATGTCGGCTTTGTGAGGCGTTCCAGTGGTAAAAACATGAGGCAAAACTCAAACCACAAACACTGAAATCCCAACCCTGACATGTTAAACAGTTGGTGGAGGATGTAACAGGCAGACGGAGCTTAAACTAAAAAAATACGAGTCAACGAAGCTCCTGGGCTGAAATCAGAAAGATGAGAAAACACAGAGGAAGCTTTTAATCTAAATATCAATCAGGGAATGATGTGTAAAAGGGCTCAGAAGTTCTGTTATGATTCTGTGAATAACCACGCAGGAATACAGGAGCTAAAACTGAAGTCTTAGTTTGTAATCCACTTAAAGTTCTCTTGAAGCAGAACATGTCCAAGATTTATCTGACCTAACGAGGAAAACTGTTTCTTTCAGTATGTTCACAAGAAAACCGGTTCAGCCTTTGTCCTCTTGTGATCATCGATCTCCTGAGCCCCTTTTACCCATGATGCCCCTCTCTAAGATGGTTTGTGGTTTGAATTTGACCACATTAAAACAGCACCCAGTGACGTCATCGTTACAGCCTGACAACTGAGATGACAATTTTTTTTTCTTTTTTTAAATATATATATATATAATTAAATACATTGGGGATGGGGGGTGAGGTAGATGGATGGTTGAGGGTGTAATAAAAAAAAAAAAAACTTTTGCTCAAATTAGAAAAAAACATAATAGAAAAAAGGGGGTACATTTGTACAGTGATTTAACAATTCATAAAGAAAATGAAAACAAATAATAAAAAAATCAGGGCTTGAAATCACTTTTTGAGAGAAAAAGTCTTCAATAATTTGCAGGTGGTTTAAACTCCACTCAGATGAGTTCAATCAAAGAACTTCAACAAAAAAAAAAAAAAAAAAACGGTGGACATTTAAGTAATCAGCTGATCAATCATTCAAATTTAGTTTTTGTCAAAAACAAAGCTTACAAACGAGTGATCCTCGTAACATCCTAGTGCTCCTGAAGCACTTTGGAGCAAACGGTGAACTTTTCAGTCTAATCCACTCAGAAATCTACAAACACAACCGAATGTGTAAAATATATAAAAAGAAAAACAATACCACCCCACCAACGTACAAAAAAACGCCTGCCCTTGATTTAAGAAAGTAGTCGATTGGAGAAAAATGAGATTTTAAAAAGTAACAGAATACAAAAATAAGGCTTAATGCTACATTAAATAAAACCATTCTGCATCGACTGTACAGGCCTTAAACCGCGTCAGCCCACTGAGAAGTAAAACTGACAAAAAGTAATAAAAGTTGATCAGAACAGACCAAAATCTGCCTTAGAAATGGTCAAACTGGGTGAGCCAAACTACCAAACTGATAAACAATAGCTTTGTTTTTATTTACATCTTATTTCCATTAGCAAATATTTTTCTGTTTTCTTTCTTGGGGGGGAATTTAGCCCAAATTTGTGTTTTTCTGACATTTGAAAATAGCTTTGCCACATTAGCATTCAGTACAATCAGAGCTCGCACATGCTAAGGTAACATCCTGCTAGCATGCTAACCTGATCATATAACTGATAGCTAGCTACATAGAAACAGCTAACTTTGTTATTTTAACAGATAAAGTTGAAATGAGACAAAAAAATATTAGCACACATACAATATAATTAATTAGCAATACCTTTTAACTATATTTAAATTTCTATCACTGTAGCTAAATCTAAAAAGGTAGCCAGCTAGCACAACTCGGAGGTTGGTAGAAACTTTTTTTTAAACATTGGCTACATCTGATTATTAACATAACATAGAGCTGGTGTTGTGTTTTGTTACTTTTGTCACTTGCAGCAAGATGTAAATAATGAAACATGTCTCATGATGGAACAAAATATAGTAAAACGCCTTAACTAGCGTTGTTTTTCAGGGGTTCCAAACCCTGGTCCTTGAGGAACACCATCCTGCATGTTTTAATTGTTTCTCTGCTCCGACACACCTGATTTAATTAATGGGTGATTAACCGGCTTCTGCAGAACACGAGGAACTAATTAAATCACTGAATCAGGTGTGTTGGAGCAGGGAAACAACTAAAACATGCAGGATGGTGTTCCTCAAGGACCAGGATTGGGAACCACTGGTTTAGATAACCCTTTTCAGCATTTTTTTTCCAGCAAAAACGCAACTTCTGTACCAGGTAAATCAACACTATAACTTCTACAAGAGTATTATAGGACATAACTGATTATTTACTTATTTACTGTAAAAGAAAAAGGTTTAGGTTAGCTACATGTCAGGCTAAAAAGCTTTACTGAAAACCTTTTTAGCCGGCTATTGAGAGCACGAATAAATGAGCATAACCCCCACAAAAAATAAAAAATAAAAGTGCTAATGGAATGAAGACGGTTTAAAATAATTGAGTAGAAACATTTTTATGACACATTAGAACAAATGTAATATTTTGAAATGTCTGATTTCTACTTTTTGTCAGAATTAGGGCTCCGAGCAAGTGCAACAAGTCAAAAGCTGAGTGAAATAACACCACCTTTTGTTTCAGACTGTGGTCAAATGAACCACTCGTCTAGTGAATTTTAACAGAACTGATAATAATAATAACATTAAAAAAAGGTCTAACAAAGACGTGTAGATGGAGGTTAACACACACACACCAGGCTGGAAGTCTCTGGGTATAACAGCAGCACAAAAAGGAGGAAAAGGAAAAACAGGGAGCAGAACAAACTTGAACTTTTCTCTTTGACCTGAGATTTAGTAGGGACACCAGAATCTGGATCTGATGCTTGACAGGGACGCTCTCCTCCAAACCTTGGGAGGACAGAAGTCAAAGCATCCTGAAAGAACACCGATAGTCATCATTGTCCCGCTGTCCGATGTTTAAAAAAAAAAATCAACAAAAAAACAAATGGCGTTCCCAAAACAAAAAGGCAAATTATCGTACCTTCAATGCAATCACAGAAACAGATCCAGCTCTGAAACACTTTGCACAACGAGAAGTTTAAAAAATGAACTGTAGTGGAAACGTTCCAAGCTGAAACCAACCTGAAGTTTTTTTGTCTCTTTTTTATTATATATATATATATATCGACTATATTACAACCACAAGAGAAATAAGGAATAGCAGCTTCTTTCTGTACATGATGAAAGTCTCCAACTGTATAAAAGTTAGAAAAGTGACAAACAACTGGTGTGTACATAAATGCTCTGCCCATGTAGAGATGTAAATGACGAGTGTAAAAAAATACGTTTCCAGTGAAGAGGCCTCTCAAGTCGGGGAAATCTCAATGTAGAGATTGTGTCCACATTGTTTTCCTCTTCGTGCACCCTTCCTGTGCAGTCCTCGGTTTTGATGTTTTTCTTTTGTAGTTGACCGTATTTGTTCGTTTGACCGTAGCAGAACAGCACTTTGTGACTTGTGGCTCTAATTCAGGTAAACTGAAGGGATCAAAGTTCGACAGAACAAAGAAACTGCAGATGAGAACCAGCATTAGAAAATAGAGCGCCGCTAAGAACGGCGTAGCGGAAGATCAAAGTGCGTTTGCTTTCGCTTCCATTTTTGCGTCGGCGTGTTGAAGACTATCAGGGTGAGATGATCCGAAAACAGAACGGGTTTGGCAACAAATTTGGCAGAGCTTACTTTTCTCCTTCTGGCCTGTCCCAGAGGTCTGGCCGTTGAACTGGCATTAGACTGTCACCAGAATAAAGAGATCAACCAGACACCACTGACGTGCTTTGTCCTCGTTGGATATGCTTCATATTTTTTCACCATAATGCCCGTTCAAAACCACACAAAACGCTGAACGCTTAAAAAGGCCTATACAGTTTGTTTCCTCATTTGGAAACCCATAAAAAAAGTAACAAAAAACTATTTATAAAACAATTTCAGCCATAAAGAGAGAAGTAGCTTCCTTAAAGTATTTTTTTTTTTAGTTTATAGTCTTTTTCTTCTTTTTGGTCTTCCTACTCAGCAGCAGAGGCAGTGTCACATCTGACAGCCGGCTGGTAGAAACTGAACCTAGGACAGGCTGGGACCGTGTGTGGCGATATAACAGAACAACAGTTTTCTCCACCTTCATTTGGATCTGTGAGTAACCACATCCACCTTGTACTGAGACGTCTGATTCTTCACGGCAGTAGGTGGACGCTTGCAGTCTGGTCAGTCTTATCAGCAGGCTGAGGACTGAGGAAGAGGCATGGCGCGCTCGTTTTTGCGTCCTCCGTTCATGTGCGCGTATGGCGGCAGTTCGTCTGAGGACGGCCGGATCGTGACGCCTGAGCCCGCGCTGAGCCCCGAGGCGGCCGGGAGAACTGGCCCCGAGAGCCCGTTGGCCGCCTGCTGGCCTAAGGGCTGCTTGTCCATGATGGAGCTCGACGTGCAGGGGGAGGACGGAGAGCTGGGGGCTTGTGACGGGGCAGGTGGGGGCTCTGAGCCTGGAGTGTGTGGGGTCTGCTGGGGGGGTTGCTGTGCGGAAGAAGTGGGGTCCAGCGCAAAGTCCGCCGTGTGGTCCAGCATTTCCATGTGGAGCTGTGACGTTTCAGCGGGCTTGTTGTCAGCACTGTAGAAGAAACTGACCTCACAGAAAGACGGCTCCAGATCGTCCTTTATGCTGCTGATGATCTCCACAAAGGACGGACGCATTTTAGGATTGTACTGCCAACACATCCGCATCAGCTCAAACCTGCACACACAGAAACAACGTTTAGAGATCAGTCGTCACATTCTCATAAGAGAAAACAACATTGATTTGAGCCAAATGTGTGCATGCTGTCCCTAAAAAGGCTGTTTAAATTTAATTTCTATGCAGACATAATTCAGTTTTTGTTTATCTTCATCTCCAGATGATCCAGGATCAGGAACATCACTGCTGACCTGCATAGATGGTATACATTTCTGAATGTTTCTCTTACAATTAAACAAAGATAAAACTGAGATTCTGGTCACAGGAAATGAGTTTGTGAAGCAGGATATGGGGTGTATTTAGATTTCCTTTCTCTAAATAATAAAAATGAGGTTAAGAACCTTGGAGTTATCGTCAATGACAATCTTATGGAACTGTAGTTTTAACTGCGACATCAGTAACGTGCAAGGCTGCACATGGTCTTGTCTCTGAGGTTCACATGCTCAGTAAAACTGACACTGAAAAACTGTTTTACCCAAGCCAGAATACTCTAATTTCCTACTTGTTGACCTACCAAAAAAATCTATTGCAGTATTATGAAACACAAATTTAAGCATTTAGCAGTCGTCTGAGGTTTTTGTGATCAAGAATGACATGCAAAGATGAATCTGAGAACAGGCAGACTCTTTGGGGAGGGTGTAACTGACCTATCAGCCAAAGAACCTGGCACATAATGCAAAACCATCTTAATAGATAAGACTTAAGCACATAAGCAGGAAGAGGAGACAAATCATTTTTTTTTTTTTTTTTTTTTTCATTTAGCCTTTATTTATCCAGGTTAGTCTCATTGAGCCACGAGAACTCATTTTCAAGAGAGACCTGTTTAGGGAGCACATGGTGGGGGTTAAGGGCCTTGCTCATGGGCCCAGAGTGGGGCGAATGAGGGTGGGGGCAAGTATGAGTGTTTCACCTACCCCACCCACAATTTTGATGTTGTCGGGGTCGGGGCGTGAACCGGCAATCTTCGGATCACAAGCCCACCTCTCTAACCTCTGCGCCACCACTCCCCACATTTTAACTGGGTGAACTGGAGATACGCCGCTACTTTTTTCTCACACTTTGTAACCCGTGGTTTATATACAGGAGCGGCTAATTTATGTATTTTTTCATAATTTATATTTTTACATTTTATTTTGACAGACTTCCTGCCGTCTCTCGGTAACTTCCTGCCGCTGACTAACATTTTCCTTTGACAGAGCTGAGCACATGACTGCCCAGCACCCAGCCCTCTTGGGGGCGGGCACTTGTCACTCTGAGTGAATCCCTCAGGTAATCACATGTACACAGCCTCTTGCACAGGGTTTTAAATTTCTACCATAACTCCACCCACTCTGTCATCATGTGACCAGAAGTCTAACCTGAATGCCCAACGAGGTACTCTCGAGGACCATCCCCTAAGATAGACATGAATTAATTTCTTCAGATCGTTCCCCTGTTTCTACCGTATTTTGCACTTCATGCACCTGTTCATTTGTTCAGTGATAATGGAAAACATAAGAATTTCTTAGAATGCAGCTTTCAAGATAAAAGTGGTCGATCTGGCTGTCGAAGAAGGAAATCGATCTGCCACCTGCAAGCTTTGCATCAACGTGTCGATAGTCAGGCATTGGAGATGCAAAGCAGTCAAGTCTGGTACAAGTTTTAAATTCTTTCTGTGTATGGTAAATATGCGTTTAAATACCGGGATCTAATTTTAAACTCACATCAGAACACGGAGCGGAGACCGTGAACAGGAGGGCTCTTCCCCCTCTCCTTCCATCATGAGAGCTCAGGGGAGAAGTCAAGTCAGGTTTATTTTTGAAGCAGTCACAGTCAGTCAAGACTGGTTAAATAAAAGTTAAAAAATATTAATATGTACGGCAAATATGTGTTTAAATACTAGTATCTCATTTAAGCTCATCTTTAAATGCATGCATGAAACGGAGAAGAGGAGGCAACGGGAGGGAGGAGCTCTTCTCCCTTCCTCCTCCTCCTCCTCATACGAGCTCTGTCGAGCAGAAATCACGTCAAATTTATTTAAAAAGTACATTTAAAAACAGCAGCTCATACCAAAAGTGCTTAACAATAAAAATCAATGGTACTAATTTAATGAATATTTACCGTTTTTTACCGGTACTATTTGACTTCCGGTCACATGACCTCGATAAGACTTCTGGGTAATATTTACCGGTATATAATTTTTAAATAATTTTGGTTACGTAGGTGTTTGGCACTGTTCTGTAAAGTGATTATGCTTAGTGCTTGTGTTCATTTTGAAGGTATAATGGTTGTAACCATGAGTCAAACAGTGAAGCTTCATGAAGACGTGACGATCTTGCAGTCTGATCATGTGTTGAAAGCAACCTATGGTCTGTGATGCGCCATCCGGTGGCTAACTCTTGTACTACAACAAGAAAGCTGCACGCAGCCCGAACGGTGGATGCCCGCGGCTTACTAACCAGACCATCTCATTAATGTACAAAATTATGATTTAACTTAAAATTAGTATGTGCGACTTAGGAGGCAGGTGCGTTCTATAGCCCGAGAAATACAGTAACTCAAGAAATTTATCATGAAATGACAAAGTAGCTGTATAAAAATAAATAAATAAATAAAGCTCTCTTCTGCTGTGAATCCAGGCATTTTAAGATCAACTCAAGTGGCCGTTTAAGAAACTGCAATTTTTGTCACTTTTATGTTTGTATGATGTTTCAGTGACTGCTGCCTGGTATCGATTGGGAAAGTTTAATGTATTCAGGGGTAATTGCAGCTCCTAAAGTTCAAGTTCAAGTAGGTTTATTGTCATTTCACCACATGTGGTACATGAGGTGGAACAAAATTATGTACACAGGGTCCCAGTTACTCCCAAAAATATCAAAAATATAAAGGGTAAAAAAACAATAAGGATCTGATATATATGCCAAACAAACCAAATGGTACGCTAAAAGATCTAAGAAAGGCTTTTAAGAAGGAGCTAAAAATATGTAGACCATACTTTTTATTTTAGATCTACAGTAAAAAAACGGCACAGGGTAGATAAAAAAAAGTCAAATAATGTGACAATGTTCACAAACAGCAATACAAGAGAATACTAAACTGTAAAGACAGAACATTTTCAGATTCAATCAATTTTGTCACGACCTGTGTACTCTGTTGTAAAAACAAACATAAAGGCAGTGTTTCAGCTGGTTATATCTGTGTATCAAGATGTAACTGCTGTAAAACAATATTTAAGTTTTCCTGCTTTTCAAAAACAATAAAATCTCCATCCTCATTATTTTGAAGACAGGTGAACAAAGTGCCTCATCAGCTAACTGGAGCGGCCACGAACGACTGAATTTGCGCAAGTTTACAACAAAATAATGTAACAAATATTCTGCACGTTCTTATATATTTTCTCTTTTAACTATTGTGGAGTTTAATCATAATCTGAATCTGGAAAGTGTTTCTACGAGAGTAAAGGTTTTGGTGATGAAACTTGGACCCAGGTACCGTTTCTATGTTCAAAAAGCAGATTTTGTTCTACAGCAACACGCCGTGTCATAGCTGTGTTCCTACAACAACGAGTGGTCTTCCCATCTAAATCTTGGCATGAAAGTAAACATGGTACGTTTACAAAAGTGAACTACTTTTTTAAAATAAACTACTTTATATTATAAATTGTGTATTCTATTAAAGATGAGGTAACCGCCAGTGAGGATATCTAACATTTCTAAAGTAAGATGCAATTAATCTAAACAAATGTTCTCAGATGCTCATGAACATTATTCCAAATTGTTTGGATTAGAGGACAAATGTGTCCGTCATTGTTACAAATCTGATGTTGATTTGAAGCTGCGCTGTTTCATATCGACAGCACGACGGCTCAGTGGTTAGCACTGTTGCCTCACAGCAAGAAGGTCCAGGGTTCAATCCCCGGTTGGACCTGGGGTCTTTCTTGGCGTGTGCATATTTTTCTCGTGCGTGCGCAGGTTTTCTCCAGGTACTCCGGTTTCCTCCCACAGACCCAAAACTTGCATGTTAGGCTGCCTTCAGGCCCAGGCCTCCATTGCAAAAGAGAGCTGTGATCTCAATGGGATTTGCCTGGTTCAATAAAGGTTAATAAATAATAAATAAATATTAAGAACAAATGTCACAAAAGACAAAAAACACACTGCAGCTCTAACAGGCTGGGGTTGCAGCAAGCGGCCACATTCATTAGAAAGCATTACTGCTGTGCTGTGTGGGTAATTGGTTGTCACTTATAATTAACCAGCAGAATGTAGGAAAACTCAATAAACACTGGACAGGAAGGTGAGAGTGGAACCTGCCCCCGCTGCAGGGTGCTGTGTGTGTTCTGGTGTCTTACAGCATGTCCGGGCAGCTCTGTGGTTTCTCCAGCAGCCCCCCCTCCATGACAAAGCGAAGGACTTGTTCATTGGACAGACCTTGGTAAGGCTGCTCTGCCAGCGTGGCAATTTCCCACAAAACAACTCCAAATGACCTACAGAGAACCAGGAGGGTAAACAGGAGTGGTGTTATCTTTCAGGACATCCCATTCAGAAGAAGCAAAGATCAAGGTTGTGCATGTGTTTGTGCGAGCCTGCTTACCAGACATCAGAGTTGGTGGTGAAAACACCGTCCTTCAGAGACTCAGGCGACATCCAGCGGACAGGCAGCAAACCTTTACCACCCTTACGATAGTAATCTGTCTCATAGATGTCTCTGGTCATGCCAAAATCTACACACGCAGAAAAGGCACACAAGCAAGCCCAAAAAGAAGTGAAGATGACTTCTTTAAAAACACCTGCTGCATTAGATAAATAGAATATTTGTTTTCTAATTTCTTGGAATAATTGCTGTTTGTTGTCTGGATCCATAAAGTATAAAAAGACTTTCTCTAGGGACACACTTCCACTTCTGTGTGACTTCTCTTTTTTAGCTGTCGGGTGCCTTACCTCCAATCTTAACTGTGAAGTCCTCGGCCACCATGCAGTTCCTGGCAGCCAGATCTCGGTGGACAAACTTGTTGGCGTTGAGGTAAGCCATGCCGTCAGCGATCTGCCCTGCCATCTGCAGCATCTTCTTCAGAGGAGGGAGAGACAGACTCGAAAACTGCTGCTGCAGACACACAGAAACAAGAAAATATAAATTATACACACAAAAAAACAAGAAACTGGTTTTACGCTGAGGTACAAAGCTCCGCTGAATATTTTAATATTAGGGTCCTATAAGAATATTTTAGTAATGAACTTTGGATGACCGTATTTTACGCCATACACGTCGCACCGTCATATAAGTCGCATCAGTCCAAATATGTCTAGTAAAGTGGAAAAATCTATAAACATGTCGATTTGCTGTATACGTCGCGTCTATTATGCGTCACCGCTGACGCGTCACGTTTGTTACGCATCACCACTGACAACCCAGAAATGTGGGCCGGTGTTGTTCTAAAAATCAATTGGCTGTCAAATGGAGGTCGCGGGAGGGTGCACAGGAGGACTTTCACAAGAATTTAACAAGATTAATCCTTAAAAACAATTATTTGTTTGATCGAAATTATAGCAAAGGTGTGTCTCAGTTTAACTTTTCCTTAATAAAAGGACTTTGACGGTCAAATCAGCTGCATTTTCAAAAGTCGATAAGCGGAAACATGAACATGCAGAGGGCGACTCGCTGTCCATTTCTTCAAAATTTAACAAGATAACCACCTAAAAACAATTACTTGTTTACTTGTAAAGGTGTGTCTCAGATGAACTTTTACTTAATAAATGCACTTCAATGGTAAAATCAGCTTCATTTCGCCGGGGCAGCGCAGCGAAATGAAGCTGATTTGATGGTGCTCCAGGTGAGCTGATGAAGGTGGCAGTTTAAGGCAAGCTGATTGTGTCATTAACAGTCACTTTTACCTATTCCATAATACAACGGCATGCCAAACTACTCGAGTGCCATCTAGCGACTGAAAATGGGTGTTCAATATTTTCAGTCAGAATGAATGAAAACGGTCACATCTAAGCCAAAAATTGGTTTATAAATATTGGAAAAATCCTTAAATTCGTCACTTCGGCGTATAAGTCGCAGAGCATGCAAATTAGGCAAAAAACAATGACTTATAGGGCGAAAAATACGGTATGTGACAAATGTAAAGAATTTAATGAACGGTAACACAAAACAAAAAAAATGCAACTTTAAATTTCCATGCACTTCTGTTTAAATGATGTTATTATTTATTAATTGCTTTATTAACCTTTATTTTTTTATCGGCTGCTCCCTTCTTCAGAGGTCACCACAGCAAACTAAGTTGCACGAAGACTTGGCAATGGTTTGACACCAGATGTCCTTCCTGATGCAACCACAGACCACCGAGCTACCACAGCCCTCAGTGTGGAGCAGAGAGCTGCTATAGGGTGCCCGGGGGAGCAGATGGTGGGCGTTAAGGGCCTTGCTCAAGGGCCCAGAGTGGGGCAAATGAGGGTGGAGGCAGATGTGGGTGCTTCACCATTCCCACCCACATTTTAATGTTGTCGGTACCAGGAGTTGAACTGGCGATCTTCCGATCACAGGTCCACCTTCTCTAACCTCTGTGCCACCCCCCCACTTTTATTAACCTTTATTTTGCAGGACAAATTCCACAGAGATCCCAGATCTTTTTGGCAAGGGAAGCCTGAGCCTGAAGGCAGCCTGCATGTTTTATTTTTTTAGACTGGGAATAAACCGGAGAACCCGGATAAACCCACGCAAAGACCCCAGGTCCAAACTAGGGATTGAACCCAGGACCTTCTTGCTATGAGGCAGTGCTAACCACTAAACCGTCATGCTGCCCAACGTTCTACTGCACATTATAAGCAAAATATCTCATTTGTTTCAAGCTCAACCGTTGACACAAATCTAAACGTGCAATACAGAACGTGGCCTCATTTAAAAGGAAAAGTGTGTGAAAAACAGGGCGAGTCCTCCAGGACCCCAGTTTTAAAATTATGAGAACAATGTGAAACTGCAGCCAGAGGAAACTGTGACAGCCTGGTTTCTGTGCAGTCGTGAGACAATGTTCCCGTACCTCTTTAGGACGCAGCGAGCGCAAGTAACTCTTCAGGTCTCCTCTTGTCATCAACTCCATGATAACCAGGGTGGGTTGGCCCTGAGAGACAACGCCCAGGAGACGAACCTGCGACAAACAACACAAAACTGACTCACGTGTCCCCAGAAAACGTAACCAACCTGATGGCTGCATGCCATCGTGCTGACTTTAGCTTGAAACTGACTACTCTGACAGCTGCATGCAGCATGTTTGGACATACCACGTGGTGGCAGTTGAACTCCTTCATGACCGAGGCTTCATTCAGAAACTCAATCCTCTCTCTCATGCTGGCAGACTCATTGACAGTCTTGACGGCGACGTGTGTCTCCGGCTCGTCTTTGACTACGCCTTTAGCTATGCCCTCATACACCATACCAAACGAGCCCTGGCCGAGCTCCCGGCACAAGGTGATCTTCTCCCGGGGCACCTCCCACTCATCTGGTACATACACTGTACAGACAAATTAGTTTTATGTTATTACGGACCTTTAAATCCACAGGTTTTTACTATAGTCACAATGCAAACACACTCACTTTCTGCAGCGCTGAAGTATTCAGGGTTGACCGATGCATACAGGACTCCCTTCCCCAGCCTGTCACTGTTCCTGTTGCAAACAAAACCAAAAGTATTTTCACAACAAGACAATTTCTTGTGTTTTGTCCTCGTGTGAGTGTTTATGAAGCATTCACACTATTGAGATCCATTTTTATTCTAACGTTTTTCAGCATCTTTCTTGTTCCACAATTTTTGTGCTATTTCAACAAATCATATCAAAATGTTCAGCTTGTTCAGGAGAAGGTTGCTATGATTTGTGGTATTGGTGCAACTTAAGCTTTTTGAAATATTTAGCCTTTTCTGCCATTTTTTTCTAATACAAAATGAATTGAGCTCATTTTACATCCTTCAAATCTTTAGATCTGTTTACAACCTTTTACTGCTCCTTTCACATTTTATTCTGGTTCAGCTTCTTTCAGATTCCTTGTGCAAATAATAATAAAAAAAAAAATCAGCTACTTTTATTTCAGTTAATTTCAGCTGTTTCGTGCTCCTTTCAGATTCTTTCTGCTAACTACAATATTTTTGTGGTTCTTCTAACTTATTTCTGTTAATTTCAGTTATGATCATTTCAGCTTATTTCTGGAAGTTTCAGGTCTTTCTGCTATTTCAGGGACTATTTAGATGTTTTATGCTAATTTTATCTTTTTGGCTAATTCCACATTTTTTGTACACATTTCAACTTTTTCAGCTTAATTCAGCAAAAATGTGCTCTCCACTTCCTTCTGGTAATTTAAGCTTCTTTCTGTCTTTTTAGATGCTTTTCAGCAGTTTTTTTTTCTTGCTAATTTAATCTTTTTTCAGATAATTTCCATTTTTTGTGCTCATTTCTGCTTCTTTTGGCATATTTGGACAAATGTGTTCTTTCTGCTTTTTTCTGTTACTTTAAGCTTGTTCAAACTTTTCAGCTAACTTAAGCATTTTTATCTCATTTCTGTTGTTTTCAGATAAATTCAAGTTTTTCATGGTAATTTCTGGTACTTTCAGACTAATTAACTTCTTTATGCTAATTTCAGATTGTCCATTCAGCTAGTTTCAGCCTTTTCTGCTCTTTCAGCTACTATTTAGCTGTTTTGATGCTAGTTTTAGCTTTTTCAGCCAATACCACATTGAGCTCATTTCACTTCTTTTCACTTCCTTCCAGTAGTTTAAGCTTCTTTCTGCCTTTTCAGCAGTTTTTTGCTAATTGCAGCTTATTTTTTAGCCATTCCCTAATTTTTGTGCTCATTTCTGCTTATTTAAACCTACCGTAATTCATCAAATATGTGTTATTTCGGCTTTCTTCTGCTAATTTAGGCTTGTTCTTCCATTTCAGCCACAACTCAGAATTTTTTTCAGATAATTTCAGCAGTTTTTCCACAAGTTCTTATGCAATAAGCATTCACACTGCACTTTCACAGGAAATTCATTTTCTCTAGTTTCTTATTGCCTTCAGCTCAAACAACATAAATGAAAAATCTTCCTGCTTTAATATAAGAAGTATTTCAATATTAGAAGGTATAACTACAAACACAAGCTGATACCAATCAGAAATATCACCGTATGTGCTGCTCAGTTTTATGGTCTATGATTTGAAAAATAAGCTTTAAATTCACTAAATCTGGATCACACTAATGATGAATAAAGCCCCCAGTATACTCCTGCGTACGTACGCATGTACTGTACGCAGAGGGTTCAGTCTTCATACTCCAGCGTACACCCTGAGTAGCTACAGAGCAGCTTCACAGACAAGGGGCGTTTACCTCCGGGACAAATTGAGGTCGCCTATTGGTCATTTGCTGACACACCTACTGGATTGATTGACAGGTGTGTGTGTGTGTGTGTGGGGGGGGAGACGAGCGCTGGCAGCCTCAGCCGCAGCGGTGTTCTGTGTTTATATGTTGTTAATAAAAAGATCTAAAGAATTAAAAAAACAGGGAGCGCTGGCTCTGCAGCCCACACATCAGACCAGCCAACCAGGAAATCTCCAGACCCTCCCGCAGCCATGCTGGACCTGAGTTTAATTCACTCGTGACAAATTCTTTCATTTCTCACCATTTCAGTCATGGAGTCAACGGAGAAGGAAGAGATTACTTGCCTCTTGGCAAAAAAACAAAAGAAAAGGCCATTAAACCAGTTCAGGGATGAAGAAGGGGAATTTAATACATTGGTGTTGCATACAAAACAGTCCGTAGCCGGGCAGTTTATTGTGCGACACCGCGTATGCAGTCGTAAAAATTGAACTTTGCACGGACATGCCCTGGGGGGTACGCTCGTACCTCCGCGTACGTACGTGCGTACCTCCTCGTATGGACGTACGCAGGAGTATACTGGGGGCTTAAGATGTTCATGTTGGTAAAAGAAAAAAAAAAAGCCAAATGTCAACAGCAGACAATCTTTTTGTACTTTTCCTAATAGTTTTCAGTTTCTGTAGATGTCGAAGGGTAAATTAAATTAATTTTATTTTTTGTTAAAACGTTAAAACATTGAAAATTTAGCTTCTTTTTGATGACACTAGATTTACCATTTACCTATTCATAGGTCATAAAATAATTGATGTGCACGCACCTTTTCTTGTTGAAAACCACCAGTATTGCAACCAGAAAACAAATAAGAAGGATGATGGAGATGGGAACGAAGATCATAACGTAGAAGGCGTTTTCATATCCTGTTTAACCAAACAATTAGATTAATATAACTAATGATGTTACAGCTACCAAACAGAGTGACTACTGGAACTTGATGTCATGTATGTCTTACTTTCGGCCACATAGAAATGGAGATTGTGCGTCCAGGAGCCATTGCCAGCCAGTGAAGTGGCTCTCACTCTGACAGAGTAGTTTCCTGGACTGAGATTGGACAGCCGAACGCTACGTTGAGTCCGATACACTTGTCCTGATACACACTCGTGCTTCTCCGCCTGACACACGCAAACACGGACAAAAAGACCGAATTATGATGCAAGAAATAGTCGAACAGTGAGGATATGTTTTTAATGTGTGGATTTCCAGTTAAATTAACCAGTTACTAATCTGGTTAATAGAGGATCTGACAAACGACGTCTTCTTCAGATGTTTTGAATAAGACATTGAGATTGTTTTTAATGTTTTTTTTTTTAAATCTCACATTTAAAATGAGCAGTACTCACTGATGCCATTTCAAAACAAGCAATTTCTGAGCGATGCAGACACAAACAGATGTCCTACCTCTGCAGCCAGTTTAAACTTTATCTCATACATGAGGATGAGGCCGTTGGGATGTTGGGGCTCTGGCCAGTTCAGAAGCACCCAGTTCTCATGTCCATCCCAGTTCACGGGGCCTGGGATGTCGTCAGCCTTTTCTGGAGAACAAAAAGTTGGAAAAGGTTACTATAATTCCCATAGTCACAACAATTTCTGTCTGGCTATGACAGCAAGTTAAACCTTGTTTTCACCAGCTGCCTTTAGTATTTCAGCAGAATGAAACACCGGAGACAGTCCCAGTCAAAAACTATTAATGATCATGCTTTGGTAAGTGGATTTTTTTCTTCTCTAACCTGCAGGCTTGGTTCTGGAGAAGACAAACTCGGCTGCGCTGCAGCGCTGAACCTGTCTGTTGCAGGCGTGAATGTCAACGCGATAAACGGTGAAGGGCTTCAGGCCAGAGATCTGCAGCTCCCGATCAGTCACCGCCTGCTCCACGAACTCGTACTCTGGTTCAGCGTAGTCAGCGAGGCTGCTGTTGCCGGCGGATTGGAAAGGGGGGACAGAGCTGTTGGTGTATAGCTGAGGGTGGCGAGATCGAGTGGAGTTAGCAACACCAAACAGATCTCTGCGGCGTCGATCTGGGGGCCTGGAGGGGAGAACAACAGAAAAGGATGAATGTGGGGGGAGAAAATGCACTGATAAAATTTTATAAAGTATGAAACTAAGCTCAGCTGAGTACCCTTTAGGACTGTGTGCATATCCTACACATTGTCCATTGCTGTAGTCTTTACAGTTAAATAGCATCTTGTCTGGATTTTTACATTAAAACACAAATATGTTAAACAACTTGTTACTATTATTTTAAGTAAAGTGCAGTTTGAACATCTTTTGTATTTGTTTTAAATAGTAACCATTCCAACATGGGAGCTGTTTAGCAGCTTGTTGAGTTTCCAGTCATAATATTGCTCTTAAATCCCTGACAATATAGAGGAGATGCTGTTTCTGGCAGAACAGAATGGGAAGTAGGGATACAGACGTTTAAAGGATGTCTTTCTTTTTAACAGCTTCCTTTTATTGACAGAGTGGAACAAACCACTTTGGAGTAAACTGTTGGGGGAAGAATCAGGTTTGTGTTGTGCATTTCCTTGACTGATGAAGCCTTCTGGATGGATGGTGAAACGTTTCAGCACAAAAAAAGAAAATGTCCAGATGACCTGACTGAAAATTGTTGGATTGTATACCTGGATTATTGAGCATGGACTTTGTTGCTTCTATTTCAATGTTTATTACTAATGAAAATATAACAAATGTAAAGTGAAAGACTGCCACTCTTGTGCTGTTGAGTGAAATAAAAGATGAGCAGATTACCTTGGTGTAAATATTGAGTTGTGCAGGAAGTTTTCAAAGACTTTTCTATAAGAAGCATCAGCAGCTTCGGCCTCCAGCTCTTCCACCGATTTGGGGCATGGGCAACAAGGGCCTTTGTCTAACCCATCAAGATCTGGTTTAGTTGGCTTTGTGTCCTCTTCTGGATCTCCAACGCCTGTAGCAGCAATCCTGATGGGGATCTTCAGCTCTGGTGGAGGAAGAGAGGGATGTCACTCTTTAATGACGCTGAAACAGGTTGCACTCAACAGCTGGAAGCATTAGTGGGAGTGGATTTTACCAATTTAAAATTTTACCATTTTACAATTTTGTTCCACCACATGTACCACACGTGATGTGAATGACAATAAAGAACCTTGAATCCTTGAACTGAATGTTTGGGACCAAGTGTGCAGTCACCTTTAGAGCAGTAGTTGTGCTGATACAGTTCCCGGTCTTCAGCTTGTTGTTGCCATCTCACCAAGTAGTAAGTCTGGTTCCCATTGGGTGAGACTGGGGGCAACCAGCGTACCACCAGCTGAGTAGATGAGTTAGAATACGCCCGCACGTCCTGAGGCATGGAGGGTGCTGAAAGAGAAAGACAAAACTGCAGGAACTGTTGGGAAAGAGCTCCATTTTAGAGCTGAAAGCACCGACTTGCCAGTGCAGCTGTGCTTTAGTGACATCACAGCCTTTTCACTGCAGCTGGATTTATTTTATGCAGTCCTCCATTTATTCTAATTCAATTACAGTCTTGTAAATCAGTAAAGTCCAAAAAGCAATGGAGCTGCAGCTGTGTTTATTTCAAATTGCATTTTCTCTTTTTTTCATGACATGTTTAGATTATCCAAAGCAATCACACTGTCTTCACAAAATCAACCCATATGAGAACATGCACTTATTAATTACGTTCTGGTGGGACTGTTAGTATTGAGCTAATGAATTTGGCTGTTCCTGGATGTCGGATTTTAATTTAATCCCTTTTGCGCAGCAACAACCTCTGACCACACGTTGTTTCGATGTTGCAAGTTATGCTGAGCTGTTCTGAAATCATGAAAGTATTAATGATGTTCAAGTCAAACATTAAACTGTACTGTACAATGAAATGTCACAGAAACATTGTATAAAAATGTATAATGTAGTACACTATGGAAGACACCAGAGGCCATTAAAGTCCCAAACAACTGGCTGAACATTCAGCTAAGCCAAGACGGAAGAAGGGGCTTTGTTTCAGGTGAAGATGTGGGCACTATGCATGTGGCAAAAGTGGGTAAACATCCATACTGCCAACATAAAATGGATAAAATAACAATGTTATATTGATATTAGTTATGGCAAGCTAATCTGCTTGATGCCAAAATGCTTGGTCCCATTTTTGAAGTGGGTTATAAGACAATTTAAAAACAAGATTAGCATATTCTCATTGAAAAAATGCTGTAAGCTGAATGTGCGGGGGTATATTTTTATCCATTATTCTTAAAATTAGTTTTTCATTCATATTTTGGCATTACAGTAAATGTTAGAGCTATACGTTTTAGGGGTGCACCAATACAGCCGATTTATCGGCCCAGATTTCCTTAATTTTGGGAAATCGGCCAATACTTGCATGAGAAACCGATTTTACCAATATGTTTAGTTTTAACAATAATTGTCTGAACTTCATTTATATTTCAGAGCACAACCTCATGGACAGTTAAAACAAGTTTGTATTGTTTCTAGGATATTGTTCAAGGGTCTGTTTTTCAATAAAATAAAATAGGAAAATTGAAGGTGCATTGTGACCTTATAACACCCGACAGTGTTGCTTATAAAACAAAAATCGGTATCGGCCAAAATTGGAATTGGCAGATCAGACTTTTTAGAAATCGGTGATCAACCAGAAAACTGCAATCGGTGCACCCCAATACGTTTCAAAGAATGAGGTAATTTAGCCAAAATCTTCACAAACTTATTCCCCGCCCTCATTTTTTGCCACTGTTTTTTTTAAGTCTAATTTTACTTTTTAATGGTCCTCCCAAAAATGCTTGTAAAAAGCAAATCCAAATTAAATTAGAAACTGTTCTTGAATATATTTCTTGGGAGTTGGAACACACTAATCATTTCTTGCCCAATTTCTTTAAATATTATTTTTATGTTGCTGCACGCAGCCATTTTGACACTGTGGTGTTTAAATATAAAACTTCTAGCAGACTCAACCACGTTCTGTATTAAAATATAAATCAATAAGCCGCCATTTCATCCTCACATGCAAGGCCTCAGTCTTAACACTGAGTGTTGTGAAATTTGTTATGAGTGCAGGTAATTTTGACCCAAGAGGTAACCCGGCAGGGGTGTCCAATCCTGGTCCTGGAGGTCCACAAACCTGCATGCTTCACATGTGTCCCTGTTTCAACGCACCTGATACAGTGGTTAGTTATCACTTCATGTTCTGCAGAAGCCTGTTAGTAATTTATTGATATGATTCAAATCAAGTGTGGTGGAGCACAGAGGAACCTCTAAAACATGCAGGACAGTGGCCCTTGAGGACCAGGACTGGACACC